CAGGCAATGGATGAGGAGTCCCTGTTAACAGCCTGCCCAGGTTTTCTGAAGTGATGAGGATTTACATTTTGCAGGTGCATCCATTGATTCCCGTGAGCCTTCCCTGCCTCTGGTACGATGCAGTAGAGCAGAGCACATCCCTCTTCTTCCTCCTGTGCTACTGTGAGACATTAAATTTGGACCTAATTCTTTGTGTGCAGTTTCAGGTTAAAAAGAGGGAAGGGAGATTTAAATGAAATAATACCGCTCTAACCAAAACATACAGAAAAACTACAAATTTGATTGTAACTACCCCAATGAGAGCAGCAGGTGTGCCAGGAAGCTTTCTGCCCAGAAGCTATAGGTTCCTAAACCTCCCCAGACACTCCGTGCTCACAAAGAAAAGGAGATTGAAGCCTGCTGACAACGATCCAAGTTCGGCCTTTTTCCAACATGCAAGCCCCGTCTCAGGCAAGAGTCACAAATCTATTGTTTTTTGGCTTATTGCAACGACACGCCGTGACCACACCACTTCTGGAAACAAAGGCTGCAGAAGTGTTTTGCCCCAGTCAAAAATAGCAGGCTCCGATTTCAACTTAGAAGGGTTGATTTGAGCTCTAAAAGCAAACAGAAAACCCACTGTAACTTCTAACTTAACTGAAAAGTCAATTTGGAAATAAAAACCTGAAGCATTTCATCCTCATCAGTATCATCCAAATGGAATATTCTCACATGGTAAAAACCACCTCCATCACACACACCACGTCTTTCTGACATGATTCCAGTGAAACCAGCACATGCTGCAACCACAGGCAAGTCTCCTCTCCAGCTGGGAACCTTCCCTCTGCACACACCGGGGTTTCCCCCTTTATTTTCATATTAGGAGCTGCCTTCCCCTCTCCAGCCTCAGGAACAGCACTTGCCATCTCGGGAGCCTTCCCTGAAACTCTCTGGGGAAGGCTGTACCCAAGAGCTGCCAGACCAGGGCTGCCCCAAAACAAGCCGGCCACTTCTTCATCCTTGTCTCTCCTACTCCCTTCTGGGTTGTACAGCCCCACCAGCTCGACACAACCTACTGAGGAAAGTCAAACAGAGAAAGTTGACCGTCAGGTCATGCCTGATGCTCCTTCTCCTTCCTCTTAACTCAGTTCCCACAGATAGTTTTGGTGTGTTTAGGTGTGCTGGTCTCTCTGGGGAGGCCCTGCTACGTGCACCTTGGACTACTAAAGCCCAACCAGACCCTAATACACTTATGACAGCAGCACATCTTTCCCTGGGAACAAGTGAAGATTGCACTTTGGTTTAAATACTGCCAAGACAGAGCTATAAAATAGAAAAGAAGTAAATATCACTATACTGCACAATCCAGATTTCAGCAAAAGTTTGAACTCTTCCAAAATTCTTCTCTCCTCCTTATAGATCTTCTAAGAATCTGAATTCCTGCAAGATTTAATCTGTTTTCTGAATTTACACAACACAAGGGCTGAAAGAACAATAAAAGCTCTTTGTGCCTTCAGTTGTGTAAAGCTTCAGGATGTTTGAGTTGCTTGATGCTGCCCCAGAATCTTTGCTGTACTTTTTCAACATTAATTGGATTTTTATCTTAAATCACGTGCCTCGGGGAAGAAGGGTGAGACAGAGCAGAGAACAGGACAAGACTAACTTTCCAACAGCTTTATACATTAAAAAACCCAAACCCTCTGTCATCTGGGCTTTGAATCAGCTTTTCAAGAAAATGAATCTGCTCCGGAGTGAACATACTGCAACGTTAATATCAGCTACAGTTACCTCCTTCTCCTGAGCCCCTGAAACAAGCGAGGCCAATGCCTAAGGCACACACCTTCCCTTGTTTGTTTGTGGTTTTTTTTGCAATTGCTTAAATTCAGAACAGCGATAAACACAGAGAGTTCAGAGTGAACAAACAACTGCTCAAAAAGTCAGGTAAAGCAGCGTTGCAGGCGTGTGCTCGAGGCTTCATTCTGGAGAAAGGCTGAGTCCAGCTGCCAGTACAAATATCCAGTAGTGTCTCATCTCACCCCCCGCTGCGGGGCTGAGGATCCAGCAGATGAGGACAGAGACAGGCGTTGCTTTTCTCTGCAGCCCGAGCGGAGATTGCCACTTCTGAGCCCACGGTGGGGAAAAGGCACTTTGAAAAACATTCTTTGATCAGACAGGGAATACAATCCTTTTCCCCCCTGTTCTCAAGTCCAGTTAAAAACCAATTTCTCAGGATTGCAGGATCCCTTCCTGACCAATTTATTTTTTTTATTGCAAAAATCAGTACCTTATGCTTGTCTACCGCATACATCCACAAATATCACACACACACAGTGTTTTCATTTTAAAAAGAGCAGCAATGCCATAACCTGAGTTGCACCCCTGTCACAATAGGCACTGCCCACAGCCCGGGGCTGTCAGCACACCCCACTGCTCCAGCACCAGTTTTGGTTGCGTTGCTCCGAGACCCTCTCCTACGTACAGGAACAGCCCTAGGCAGGAGGGGCACTGCGTGGACTGCAAGAAGACAACAGCCCCTTCAGCCTAATCCAGGAGGAAAAGCCCCAATGCACGGGGATGGATGGGCAATGGGAAGACCCCTTCATGTTCTCCCCTCTTACGATTGTGAAATGAAATTTCAATCTGATTGCCTGATAGAGTTTTTACAGCACCAATGCTGAGTGGGGCCGGTCAAGTCAGTCTCAATGAAGATAAGTTTTACAAAAAGCCTTTCTAATTGGAGTATCACAGAGTAGCTCAAGTTAGAAGGGACCCAATAAGGATCACTGAGTCCAACTCCCTGCTCCGTGCAGGACTACCTAAAACTAAACCATATGACTAAAAGGGTCATAGCAGAGTACATGAGCGTGTTTTGATTTTAAAACAGGCTGAGGGGTCTCTTTGGGTTAGCGACGGCTACTCAATACCATAACTTGAAAGAGAAACACTACTGCAAAGAAACTTTGCACATTTAACTAGTTATCGCAAGGTGATGTGAACTCTGTAACATGAAGAGATTTATCAGGCAGCTTGGCAAGCCCAAGGGTTGATGCAGGCAGTATCCTCACACCTCTGGTTACATTAAGTCCATGAAACCATTAATACAGGGATCCACCCGCTGTCCTTCAATCCATGGCCAGTCCAGGGACTAAGTACACACATCCCTTTTAAGAAATAAATGGAAATATTGAGATGCAAGGAGACTGCTTGTGGTGGTTTTGATTTTCAGCACTGCCTCCAGTTCCCACAGTCTTCATTGTGGGAGACTTATGACTGGTTAGCAGTCCCGAGGAATTTGGCCTTAAGAGCAGATTTGAGCTCTAATGGCATTTTGCAAGGGCTTTGTCCTTTGGGGGAGGGGAGCAAAACCAAACCACCTCCAAGCATCAAAATTAAGGTTTTATCATCACTTTCCCCCCCAACAACAACAAGATTCAGCAGAGGCCTTGCCAGCATCCCACAGTTACAGCTCCTTTCATGCAACTTTTGCTCACAAGTGGTGTAATCACTCCTCCTAGATCATGTTCCAGATGATAAAAGCGTGAGCCACTGCTGAGAACAAAACTCCTTTCATCACCAAAAAACGTGCTTGAAAAAACACAAGCAGCTGAAGTCTTTTCATCTTTTCAGTCCTAGAAAACAGCACATCCTCACCTTTTAGATGTAAGTACTTCTCCTTAATATGCAGGCATCATGTACTTAACTTAAATTAATAAAATCATGACAATAGACTCAACCCTGAATTTCAAGTCACACTGTTACTATCATCCAGGGCAAAATAAGATTCTAGGGACACACAAAACAAGAAAAGACATTTACTACCACAAGTGGTAAGAACATCTTCACCAAAACTAGTGCTCTGCCATACCATGGCAAGTACAAATTGATCCACCATCCTAAGCCTAGCACAGAACAGAGGAGAATATGAATCATCTTCCTTTTATGGATGCAGGACAGGATTACAAAGCCATTAGGTGACTTGTAATATCAGAAGCTTCAGACTGTAAATTAGCATGTATCTCTCCAGCTTACCACCGTAACCATCAAGGAAAAGCAGTCTTCCTCCCAGATAAGGTACACAGTGATATATAAACACAGAAAGGATCTTATATTGCAAACAATATGCTATTCTGAAAATCAAAGCCGCTCAGTTCTCCTAATGCAACAATTAGATGACAGAACGAAGCAACAGGTCCGGTTTCTCATTAAGTCACTGGCAACACTGCATTACCGAGGGGTGTTGAGAGAGGAGCTGTCGCCAAGACAAAGCGATAGGGATGAAAGATGAAGCACTTTGGCAGCATTTGATTTCATATTCCTGGCTCTTCCGATGACTGTGCAGCTGGAGCAAAATGGAAAGGCACAGGCTTGCCATGCTGTTGTCTCTGGCGCAGTTAGTATGGACCAAGACTTTCCAGTTCAAGGAGCACAACAAATTCCCACAGTGCCTTATGTACCAAGTCCATGATCTTCTTTGGTGCCTTTATGGTAACAACAAACAGGAAAACTGCAGTCAGATGAACAGTGAGGACCAGAAGAGTCATTCAGAGGATGCTCAGCACGTCTCCAAATCAGCTGAGGTAAGACCCTCAAAGTGAATTCTAGCAGCTGTGCACATCTGGCTGGACAGAGAGGGTACTGCAGAATACCAAGCTTACACCTAAAAGAGTAATTGATCTCTATCAATCAGACAAAGTTTGAGGGTCAGTAGAAAGGTTACTTCCTCCCAGAGGACAATAAAGGATGAATAATCAAGTATACAAAAAAAAAAAAGCTGTAAAATGGAAATAGCCCAGGAAGGACACAGACTGTCGAAACCCATGGTGATAAACAAGACAAAGAAAATGCCTTTACGATTTTGCAACGGATCAGAGAAGACAGGACTCCCACCCAAAAGCAGGTCATTTTCTTGAGTACTTTTATCAACAGCAGGAGATGGTGTCACAGTGAACTGTCAGACAGTCCTCGGAGACGTGCAGATCACAAGGCTTGTCTTGAGCTAAAATAAGATTTAGCAAAACAGAGACAGTAACAGAGATTAAAACTTTAATTTAAAACTTTGCCAACAAAAATTGATTACAAAAAGGGAAATTATCTGTACAAAATAAGAAAGGAGGTACTCATTTAACAAGAGACTGTCATTGTCAGTGTATGCTGGACGACAAACAGTTCTTCAGGTCAAGTGGCAAGTGAGAAATGAACAAACTAAGCTCATAATACAGGATTCTGAAGTGAATTTTCCATAAACCAAAGTAAATTGAGCTGAAGCATCTCAAAAGCTAATCAAGACTTATCGGAAGTCTATTTTTCTTGCAGACGTTTTCCTCTTTAGAGAAGGAGAACATACTAGAAAGCAAGACCCAGAGCGGTGCACTGGGCCAGGACAATGACTTCTGCTGTGCTGTCTCCCCCTCACGCCTTCCTTCTGGCCTTCTGGACAAAGATGTTCTGCAATATGAGCATGCCAGGGCTTTAGCCGAGTCATAAACTACTGCATCTTCACTTAACTGTTAGGTCCTGACTCAAAATGAAGACAAATGCTTTGAAGACAGTGATATTACTATGACTAAAAAGACCAGCCGCATCATGACTCTTATAAAAATGATGGTTCTCAGACTGTTCAAGTCAGCATCAAATAACAGCTGTCGGACAATGACAGATTAGTATTGAGAACACTGCAATCCTCTTTTCTACCTATCATTTTATATCAAGAGACAAGAGCATCTTTAAAACTCATCACTCAATAGACAAAAATGGCAGGTGATTTCTGAATTCCAAGTTCCTGTAAAACGTAAGCACACAATATAACTGTTACCAGTTTTCTACATTTTTCCACAAGCTGAATCAACAGAATTGAGTTGCAGTGAAGAAATGGAACATGCAATTTTTTTTCAAGCCAGCCGAAAACTTCCAGTCTGACTGCTTATTTTCCACTCAGTTTCACATCACATAGTATTTACAAGTTTTTAAACCTTCAGAACCCAGGTTTAGTGAAGAAACAAAGTAGTTATAAAAATGTTTTGGCCCAGATTCACTTCACCTACTTATAGATACCTGAGAAACCTAAGGTGGGACAGAACAGCTTTCTGTGCCCTACCTACCCAGTAAAAAGACAGACAAAGGCTAAAGGGAAACTCAGTCAGAGACTTGAAACTCATCCTACTGACGATGCTGCTCTCCCAACTATAAACCAAGAAGTGAGTAACTATATTCCAACTTAGAAGCCTCGGTTAAGCTTAGAGCAATCGCGTCCCTAGCTAAAGAGCTGTCATTTATGTGAAGCTAAGCCTTACCTTGCTCAGTAGCAGCTCCCACCCAGGGGAGTTGGGGACAGCTACCTTTTATGAATGCTGTGAGACATGCACAAGTCCTCCTTACAGCTGGGAAAACTGAGATAAGGAAGAAGTTTGCTCAAGTCCATGTGGTGAGTCAGTAAGAAGCCGGCATTACAGCTTCCTGGAGCTTAGCCCTGTGCTCTGCCCACGGGAACCCAGTATGAGGAAAACTACTGTACAGAATCTTTCCCTTTTCCACATCAAAAAGTTTCACCCCAAAAATACAGATACTGATAAATGGTGTACGTAATTTGTTATTTGACAATGAAAGAGTCCTGCAGTGAAGTCATCTTTCTATTGGATCTTAGCCCTGGAAAAGTTTATTTCCAGCTTTGATTCTTCAATGTCTTGAAGCTTTTAAGAGAAAGTTGAAGATGCAGTTAACAAACATAACGCTGCAGCCAGTACCCTTTATATTAACCACAACGATATGTTACATTTTCTAGTTTAAGTAGTATTTGTGCTACCCAATTCTGCAACCAAAACAGAAACGTTGAAGTCAAGAATTCACAGATCTCAGGGAAAAAAGACAAGCCAGATAACTTCAGTTTAAACAGAGCAAGCCTTGTAACATGCCATGAAGGGTTCAGAGATTTCAGTTCTGTGAATACCTGCTATTGCCATTTCCAACAAAAGCCCTCTTCTCCTTAGTCTTGCCCAGCCCGTGCTGTAGCAGGCAGGACAAATGCTGCACAGCAAGAAAAAACTCCCCTCAAAACACAGTTTAATAATGGAAATGAGACATTTGCACTTTGCTTTATGAACGCAGTAGAGAGATATCACTTAAATAATGTTTCCAGAGATCCTGGGACTTAAGCACAGCTATGGAAAAAGCCAGCTTCCTAAGCTTTCGGGTTAGTTGGATCCATCTGCCTCACACTGGCTTCTTACCTTACCAAGCTTTTAACCTACCAGGCAAGACAGAACACCATTAGCTTGTTCCATCACATCATGGAACAAGACAGCATAACGGATGCCCATTGCGACAGACAGAAAATACTGTATATAAAGAAGGCTTTTTTCAGTGGCAGAATCAAATCGGACACTACTGGCTAACCTGGAGCAAGATCTACATTTTTCCCTTCTAGAGTTTTTAATTTTCTCTTGAACCAGAAACATTCTTTTTAATCAGTGAAATCCAACAGTACTACAGAGAGCTCAGTTCTTAAGCATGCTCTGCACCAGGAAGGGTTGGTTCTACGTCCAATTAAAACCAAAGAGCTGCTGTTTTTCCAAGGGCAGGAGGTCTTCACTGGTCACCTAGCCGGAAACCTTGGCCCCAGTTGTGTCTTCTACCACCCTGCTGATCTTCTGCAGCTCTTCTCATGCTAGCAGGTGGGACACCAAACCCCGACACTCCTCCTCTCCTATTTGGCAGCCAGCGGTACCTAGGACAAGCCAGAAGAGAAGGAGAGAGTTTGAGAAGCACCTTACAATCCCAGCTAATGTATGTCTGATAAACAATACAGAACACTGGACCAAACAAACAGTGAGCTGAAGAATAAAGCCAGCTTACAGAAACTGAGGTGTGGACAGAAAATTCCTTCCTCCCAAATCCATTGGATATTTAAACATTAAGAAGAAATACAGGTGGCCAACCAGGTTTCCTATCAGCTCATTGATGACTCTGCAAGACAAGACCAAAAAAAAAAGTTTCATATGTTGTCTTCTCTGAAAATGAGTGACCATGTTCTACCAGTTACTACTGCTCACCTGCCACAGGCATTGCCGGGGCCATGAGCTACAGAAAATTTCCCTTCCCTCAACATTTTGCAGCCACTTTAGAAGGGCCAACCTTCAGTGCCAACACATCAACAGGCTGTTCCACCCTCCCTTCCAAGCCTTCTCTAGAGTCTGTACTGAAAATGCAATTAAATACTTGTTTACATCAGGGAATTAGACCGTACAGCTATTAGTGTCTAAAATAATAGTCTGCAGAGTTTGAGAAGTTACTGCTGTTTTCACTGGACAACCTGTCTCCTGCTGGACTGAACTGTTTTGTTCCTAATTTTGCAAAAACACTGCTGAATGGAGGCCCTTGAGTATCGTCCGTCATGCATAGAAACAGCAGGTATCTAACAGCAAGCAGTTTTCTCAAGTGACGGGTGAGTCAGTAGGAGGCACAGCCAGAAAAGAGAATTTGGGTTTGCTGTACTATCTCCTCCTTTCATAAATCAACCACGAAACTTGTTATTGTCACTAATTATGTTACAGCGGCACCAAGAGGCCCCAGTCAACGCAGGGCACCAATGGGAAAGACCGTGGCACAGAGGAGATTTCTGCATCACAGAGTTTGGTCAAAGAAACCCAAGACAGACCAATGAATTCAGCAAATGCTAATAGGGCACTCTGTGTGCTTGTTATTGCCATTTTCCTTTGTTTCACAAGCTGAAAAAACCCATCACATTGGGCAAGACTGTGAGGGAAAGAAGTAACAGCACTGTCAGAGTCAAGCTAAATTTGTTTCTAAAACCAGTGTCATATGGGATGACATGTTTCTTTACTGTGTAGTACCCTTTAGTAAGGAAAAGGCTTAATGCATAGATTTACTAGAAAATAAAGCAAATACTTATTACTTTCCTTTTGTCTACATTCTCTAGTTCTCATCTGCACATTTTCTCTTCGCTTTTATCTTAAATGACCACAATATGACACTGAGCATTATCAGTCAGATTACGCAGTTTTAAGCCTCTTATTTTAATATTACTTCTAAATTCATCAAAAAGTTCAATAGCTGTAAAAGCTTTTATAACGTCAAATTGGCCATATAAGTAAATACGTACGATCCACCAATGATGTAGTTGAATCCCAGAATAACCCATGGAAGGTAACAGGCCTGAAAAAGAATGCAATGGAGACAGAGAATTTTTAAGTACAAGTTAAGGACATAAACCTGCTCAATTTCCCGCTGCACTAATACACATGATTATGATCTCAGTATTTTAGGCAATACACACATCCTGATTTATTAACTTAAGCAGATTCTACCTAACAAGGTAGGATACTCCAAACTGAGTGACCACTAACATTTTCAGACAAATCATGCTCATTTTGGCAGTGTTAGGTTGATTGTTGGACTCGCCTAAAGGTCCCTTCCAACCTAGATGATTCTATGAATTAAACATTCTAAGTAGATGCACTCTATGGTTCACATCAAGCTTACATCTGAAACAAAGTCCTGATGTTTCTGATTTTGTAAAGGTCTGGAAACGATCAAACAAGTGTTCACTACAAGATCTGGCAGAAACAGACGGGATTGCACAGGAAAGAACAATCTCAAATATCAACATTGTGTCACTACAATGTCACTACATTCAGCTTTTACCCAGGTTAATGTTTATCAGGAATTTTTTCCTCTTTTCAGACCGATGAATTTCAGCCTTCAGGACCTCTTTTCAGTAAAGCTACACTGAGTGACACTGTATGGAAGGAAGACCATGAAAGAAATTTGTCTTTGCTGCATCTCAAGGAGAATATAGCTATGTCAAAGCATGGGATATCTTTAATAAGAGAAAATATTTATATTTTGCCCCTTGCCCCCTTCATGTGCGTCTTCTGGGCAGAAACCTTCCCAATATCCTGTCTGACATACCTTAAATCTCGTTCCAAACCAAAACGTTACGATCATGTCTCTGTTCAGCTGGGCCCACACATAAAGTACTGACATGATGAGTGGAATCATCAACAACTGCAGTATTTAAAAAAAAAATAAAATTAAAAGTTACCATCAATTTCACAGAATCCTGAGAAACTTAAACATGCAGCAGGAGCTGTAAGCTTCAAAAATGGCTTGTAAGTATGATCCATCAGCAAAATCTTTAAAGATTGCCCCAGAATCTTTGCCATCTTGTGTCATGGATCTGTTCAAAAGCTATTGAGAAAGTTAGTAGGAACATCTACTTGGTCATTCTCTTTCGCAAGACTATGTTAAAGGGCTCCAACTTGCCCCAAGTGAAAGAGCAGCTGTGGTGAATTCCTCTGCCCCCAGCTGCTTGGCAGCACACCTACACCAGAGTCAGTGACATCCTTATGCCACAATCCTTTCCATTCACAACCCAGGGCACTAACCCAAACACGCTCATCTGGGGCTAAGATAATATGCCAGATGAAGTGTTACTCCATGGAACTGCCAGCTACGTCCTCCTTGGAGCACCACAAGGGGAGGTGCTCCAGTAAATCACCATTTCAGAGTACAGCAGCCATCCTTGGCACAGCCACCTTGCTCGAGCTCAGAATGAAGCTGTGCTCCATGCCAGGAAATGAGATTGTTTCAAATACCTCCTTTTTGTGTATTAGCTGATGGGACTATTGCTAGTGAAACAAATCTAAAGCACTATTTTAGCTATCTGCTCATTTCTGAAGACAGACTGTGCCAGCAACATTTTTATCAATTGGTTTATCCCTACGAACCAGCTCATGTGTTTGGAAGAGAGGTTAAAACCCAACTCTTCGGAGGTGCCGCTATTTAACAAGCTCCACGTTAAAGCTGGGACACCAGCATCAGCCCAGCCTTCCCCGAGCCCTACAGCACACCAGCAGTCGGACTCGTCACACAAGAACCTTAGGGTCTTTTTAAACCATTTTTATTTTACTGGGGAAAAAAAAAATAATATCTAATTGCTGAAAGTATTTGACATGAGAATAGAGGCCCAGATTTCCTACTCTGTCTTCTCACTTCCAAGCAAGCCACTCAACACAAGCAAAAACCCCTTATTTTAAGCAATACTTTGCATGCAGATATAAAGCCATTTTAAGTACTTTTTAAAAAAAAGACACAAATCAACACAGTCAGTCTAAATTTCATACAATATACGGGTGACTTCAGCATGCTTTTGAAGAATTTTGTGGCATCTTCCCCACGGCAAAAAAAGTTTAAGTGCAAAGTTATGGATGGCCTTTAAGAGAACTCCGTCCTGACTGCAGATGCACGATAGCTACTTTTGTCTACCAGGGGAGCCTGATAAGTAATCTAATAAATGCTAAGATGATATTGGACAGAATATTAGAGATAATGGTGCAGGTTTTGGGCGACAGGGACAGAATAAGATGAGGGAAGAACAGCAGAGGCAGGCTGAAGATATGCAGTTCTCTGGTACTCTGTTGTGTCCAAGAAACACTCCCTCAATTCCCCCCCTTAATATTTGGGGAGATAAGAACTATCTCATTGAAACTGGTTCTTTGAACTACTATTTTAATCATTCTTGTGAAGATTTTGTACTTCACAGCTCTGATCTGAATCTGAAACTGCATTTGTCACAAAAAGATCTTCTGTTGGCAAGTAAAAAGCACACAAAATTCGAGAAGACTAATGAACCCAAGAATCATTTTTAGATAAAAAATAAGAATGCAGATCCACATTCATTAGAAGAAACAGTGCAGAGGTGACATCTTGTGTCCATTTTAGTAAAGGGCCAAACACTTCCCGACTGCACCAAGAGCCAATTTTCACTCCTTGACTCCCTAACTTGGTTAGGAGCGGCAGAGTCAGATCTAGGCTTGTGACATTAGCTGAGTCTATCCCAAACTAAAAAACTAACAAAACACACACAGCAGTTTGTTTTGACAAAAACTAAACCAGCCTAGCTTAACTACCTTCTGCACTTATGCCCTCTATAAAGTCATTAAGTAGTCAGAAAGTTCTATAAGATTATTATTTAAGAAACTGGATGGCACTTACCTGCATGTCCATTGCCAAGCCAGTTATCTGTCATTGCTCCATTAAGGAAAACGCAGCAAAACCTGACAGACTAGAATGACAAAAAGAAGCTGCACAAGCATATGCAAAGGCCCTTAATGTTTAAAATTAAAACAGCGTTCCCATGCAGTATGAAGTTAACCACTGAAAAAAATAAAAAACCTCCCATGATCCAGAGTCTTACACACTTAGTTTCAATAATTCCTTTTCAGTAGCCTTTCAAGCTACCACCTCGAGTCATTACCCGAGGGCTGATGGATGCACTGGTCTTCTCTCCATGATGAAACTGGCTAACTACAAACGCAGTCAGTCCTTGCATAAAAGCACATTGCAGGCTTAACAGCTAGGTTCTTTCATTAGTTTTTTCAAGATTAAAATGTTGAGTTTCTAACTAAGGAAATACCAGATCATTAAAAAAAAAAAATCAATACATAGCCATTGAGACATAGAAAATAAGTAACTCCTTTAAGTGCATCAACGCAGGCTTTTAATACTACTCTCCTACCCTGGAATCTGAAGGATCTACTTGCTGTAGTAACTGCCAAGTAGAAACAATTGCTGAAGAATTTTGCTATGACCAGAATGCTTTTAACAGTTCATGAATGTGTATAAAATGGCACCAAGCGTTTTTCCAGGCCATGTATCCAGGTTGCTCCTTACATCATATAGGGAACAAGCAACTGAAAGCTTTTAAATGACCAGTTTGGAAGTCAAGTCACAATCAGATTCATCTAAGAGCTCACAGCCAACGGCCTGCAACCACAATGAAGCCGATGGTTTTCTTAACAACATCTAAACAACAACGTTGTTTTCCTAGTTACTGCTGTGGTTTAACAGGACCAGCAGGAATAGCAAATCCCTCTGTAGAGTGGAATGCAAGTAGAGATAAGTTTAGTCTATTGATAAAGGTGACAGCATCTCTACACACTAGCTTTCCCAGCCTCATCTGGTTCACACTGATGTCACCACTCCCTTTTTTCCACAAGCTGTGCCACTGCAAATTGCTACAAGGAGGCAGCAACAGCGCAGACAGAATGGGAGCATCTCCAAGGATGGAGGCTCCACAACCTCTCTTGGCAACCCATGCCAGTGTTCAACTGCCCTTACAGTAAAAAGGGTCTTTCTTACATTTAAATGGAATTTTCTGTACTTCTGTATCTCTTCTCTCTTGTCCCACCATTGAGAGAAGTCTGGCTCCGTTTCCTTTACTCCCACCCCCATCATGTATAAGACCCCACATGGATAAGACACCCCTGAGCCTCCTGTTCTCCGGGCTGCACAATCCCAGCTCTCCCAGCCTCTCCTCATGTGACAGATGCTCCAACCCTTTAATCATCTTCATGACCCTTCAGTTGACTCACTCTAGTACGTCCACATCTCTCTCGTACTTGGGAACCTGGATGCAGCTGGATGCTGGACCAGCTCCCTCGACCTGCTGGCAATGCTCTGCCTAATGCAGCCCAGGAGGCTGGTGGCCACCTTTGCCACAAAAGCCCATTGCTGGCTCATGGTCAACTTGGTGTCCAGCAGGACCCCAAGGCCTTTTCTGCCAAGCTGCTGTGCAGACTATCAGTCCCCAGCCTGTCCTGCTCCTGAGGTGGTTCCTCCCCAGGGCCAGGACTCTGCACTTCCCCTGGCTCAGCTTCGTGACATTCCTGACCACCAAACATTTCTCCAGCCCCTCAAGATCCCCCTTGGATGGCAGCAAAACCATCTGGTGTACCAACAACTCCTCCCAGTTTTGGATCTGAGACCTAAAGAAATCTCAGGTAGAACAGCACAGCTCATGGAAAAACTGTTTCCCAACATTCCCAAACCAACAAGCCCAGCTTCTTCAGGGAATTGTCTCAGTGCAGATATTGCTATGCTGCTTTCACAGACTCAGCTGACTTGTACCCCGCAGGCAAGGGATCTCTCCATGAGATACCCCTGAATTTCCAGCTCAGGGAATGGCAGAGATCAGGCCTCTTTGCAGATGGCAGCTCAAACACGCTAAATTCAGCCCAGGTGGCAATCCACAAACAGTGGCCGAGTGAAGCAACACACAGAGAACATCACAGAAGTTGATGCAAGAAGAGCTGAGCTTTATATAAGCAGAACTTTAGTCCCCAGATTACATACCTGTATTAGCACTAGTATTTCTTACTGTTCTCCCTGCAAGCCAAGCACTATCTTTCCAGGAAGATTAAAAACTCACCTGTAAACATCTTCTACATTTAAAAACTGTTAGTTGCTAAAACCTGGTCTTTGAACATATTTCAGGCAGAAATAGGAGAATCAAAGCATTCTAAAAGTTTGATGATAAGTAGAAGGATACAACAATGCAGATCCAGTTAAACAGGAGCATGAACATGTAATCTGCTGGCCTTCCATCAAAAGCCCCTGTAAATAAAAGGAATCGTTAGGAAATCTTAATAAGAAATTAAGTTTGCTTTTTTGTTGTTTTTTTTGGTTGGTTTTGGTTTGAGTTTTTTTGTTTGACTTTTTTTTTTTTTAATTCTTTTAGGAGTTTGAGAAAAGCTCAGTTAATAACAGTTGTCCTACAGGCAGCCTGCGGATTATTTTCTTTTTTTTACTTATTATTTTAAATGACCTTATAATAGAACGACCTATAGGACCAGAAAATAAGACATCCAGCCTACTGCATTAAGTGGACACACAGCAGCTCTGCTTAGAAAAAGAACACATTTAAACTCTGGAGGTAAGTGGTTTTAACTTTGCAGGAATTCAAAACAGAGTTGGACCCCATCCTTCACCAGAAGCTACCCGTCAGAAGCACACAATAAGGAAATACACTTGCACAGCAAAAGCAGAGACACCAAGTTGAAGGACTCAGTCATGTGAGAACCAGTCCCTCCTTAGGCAAATTGCATCCTCTTTGCATCATCTAGTCACACTCAAGAGATACGATAGTTTTTATACTCCAGAAAAACCAACATACATGACAAAAAGGGCACACAGCTTGCAAACTGTGGTAAAGGGCTGGCACAGACCTCACCATTTGAGCAAGACTCCTCTCAACTTTCATATAGCTCCGTGCAGGCAGGGAGAGACTGAGAACACTGCTGAAACAGACCCAAACCACAGTGACAAACACAGCGCCGTAGGAACAAGCTGAATTACATGCTGATAATTAAACATGAAAATGCCTAGAAAGGAGGCCACTGCTTAATGTTAGCACTATTTGGCTTCCTACAACTATTTTACACGTCCCTCAAAAGTTAAAGAAAGAAAACCTATTTTTAAGCATTAGCTTTTTAGAATAACTAGAGTAAATCAGCCTATGTAAAACAAAATCGCTATTTTAGTAATTTTAAGTTCAACCATGCAAGTTACATGACGGGGGGGGGAAAAACAACTTTGAAAAAATCTTCTGGAAAGTTGTAAAGTTGGAGAACTACACAACTGGAGTTTTCTCCTTCCTGTTGCCATACAACAAATAGAAACAAATAAAAAGAGGAAACTAACTAACCCTGTAGAAACTCCAGCACAGGAATTCCTCCAGAATAGGAAAAAAATCAAAGCAGATATCATTCCCTTGAAGTTTTTCACTTCTTGCTACCTAGGAGATTACTAGCAAGAATATTAGATAAACAACTGAAGTTGATTTTCCAATGAATAGCTAAAAAACCTGAGCCACAGTCTACCAAAAAGCTCTGCACAGGGATGAGGTGAGCTCTAGCCCACTGGGTCCTTCAGGAGGGCCCAGGGTCTAACCCAGTCATGGGGGAAGAGCTGCAGACTCCTAATCTCATCGTTCGTACTGCTGGGGAATGAACTCTGCCTATTCTGCTTTCTCTGTTGATATTCGTTACATTCTTCTCCAACGGACACAAAACAAAAACACATCAATCTCCTTTTCCTCTGGAAGCTAGAGGTCAGCTTGTTAGGAAAGCACAACCACAGTACAAAACCACACAGGTAATTCTTGACACCTAAATTTGAAGCTCACGTGCAACACCAGCGTATGCTCATAAACCCATGCACAACCCTGAAAACAGAAGTTTCACTTCCCCCAGTTTCAGAGACAAAAGGAGACATAGACCTATGCTGATTTTCACTTGTAAACAGATTATCAGCAATTTACACACCTCCCATTTTCAGAAGGATTCAAGCTTTTTGCTTAGAGAGGAAGCACCAGCCTAACCAAGAACTTTATTTATACCCAGAAAAATGACTGTAACAGAGAAGAAATGCATTGATTCAAACAACACCACAGTTGACTTCCCACTTTCAAAACCCAGATGTGTTGTACAGCAGGAATCTAAATTTACTGCTGAAAGAATTGACTTCTTCCATAAGACTTCTGCCACAGCATAGACAACTATAGCATTTTGTAAGTGTACGTACAAGCAGTGATGTCTTATAATTTGCATACATTAACTCTTACTACACTCTTGCACAGTAGAATGTTGTAACTGTGTGTACTCCCATGTGTTTGTTGTAATAATCTACTACAGAAAGGCTCAAAGAAAAGGAGCCATTCCTAGCTATTAAATTACTACTTACTTTCACTACGAAAACAACCAAATACGATCTAGCATCACTCCTCCCTGTTCCTGCTATGCTTCCTATGACTTAAAAGGGATTCCACAATGCTCTCTGGATGACAGGTTTACTGGGGATCTCTTCTCTATCGTGGGACTTCCCAAACATCACCTTACAATGCATTTCCACTTCCACCATCAGTTCTAACACTCCATTGGAACTACGATGAAACTCTTGTGCACAAAGGCTTTCAGGAGGAGCTTGGCTTTGCAAATAATTATTTACTTCAACAGAAACAATTTTTGTCTAGCTTTAATGAACTGTGCAACTGCAAAATGAAACTAATTTTGAAGCCACCTGAAACAACAATCTCTTTTTGAGAGAAACGATCCATTATCTGATCTCCTTTCTGCCACTCTTCATTTTTTCCCCTAACTGAAAATCCAACTTGTTCCTTAACATTTTCACATTTCTATTTGACAGAGGGGTACACTTCATTTGCCCAGGATATCTCTCAATTCAACATAAGTAATAGAATAACACAGGTAAGCATCATTGCCTTTAAAAAAAAAAAAAAAAAAAAAAAAAAAAAAAAAAAAAAAAAAAAAACAACTGACATTGTTATTTTCTCAAGACGGATATACCCATTATTTCATATACTCTATCACTCTTCCACGTTAAAGGACATCAGATACAAGAAAACAGAAGGTAACATCATCTTCTAGTCTCTATCCCTTGCTTCCTGAAATCCAACAGCTAAAAGCACCAAGCCCTCCTACTGAAAGTATCAAATTCAGACCCTCAATGACCAGGCTGCCTGCCAAAGGGAAGGAGTCAGTCACAGATAATCAGTTTTCAGAGCAATTTCCTACTGACCAACGTAAGCAGGCACAGATATGAGCCAGGTTTCACATGATTCTGTCCACAACAGCCACAACCCATCACCACAAACATTCCCAACAGAAGCTCTATCTGCCAACACTTAGTCTCAATCAACTCTGGGCTGAGTTCCCCACGTGCAGACAATTTAAAGGATAACGTACCTGTTTCTAGTCGTGATGAATATTGATACAAAAAATACAAATTCACCAAGTAGAGAAATCCTGTCCCAGGTCCCACTGGGAAGTAGAAAGTTGCAGTTATCGGCCGCCAGATCTGTTCAGAACACAAGAGAAAGGTATATTTATATACTTATGTGCAAAGGTTTATTTGCTATTAATTTTCTATCAATTACTTGGAAGATCAAGGAGGAGATTAAAAATAGCCCAAGTACCAATTACTGCTGCTTTCACAGTTTTGGTTTGTGTTTTTTTTTTTTTTTTTTTTTTTTTTTTAAATCTGATAAGCAAAGCTATTAAGATTACAACAGAAATCACACACAACTTCCCAGGTCATTCTATCACATCTTCACAGTACTAAATCTTTACTGCAGGGCAATAGGGATATACTTGCAAGGATGCTACCCTGTTTTAAAAGCATCCATAAAGAAACCATTCTTACCTATTGAACAGAGGCCAAGGAATTCACACAACAGCCTTTGGCGTATTGTTGCAGACAGCACACACTGCTCTGAGCACTTGGCACCTGCTTTAGAGTCTCCCAATGATCAATACTGGGCACAGTCAATTGCATGACATGTAGCAAAGACAGAAAACACCTGGGCACTTATGAATGAGCTCTTTAACCAGCAACATTGACATCTGGTATTGGTATAGGGATCCTGAACATCACAGTTTCGGAAGGAACTAGAGGAAAAAATAGTCATTTAAGGTACTATGTTTTAGGGACAATACATGAAATGGAGAGCTATCTTTTTCTTTTTTTGCACTCAGCTTTTTTCACTGGGCATATCATGAACACACATAATAGAAATTTAAAGGTTGGGATCTTTTCCTTCACTTTCATTTTCAGTTCATCCAATGGGTGCTCTCCCCCTATACACCACATACAAAACATTGAACCTGTAATCCCTCAGTGCAAGGAAAGAGCTACGTCCAGTTTGTGACCACTTTTGATATACCTAAAGTGCCCAGAAACACCGTACATCTGAAACCTCAGGACTTCAGTTGTTAGTTTATGTCAGCCACATGCAGGCACAGAAGCTAGTAGTCCCAAACACAAGGGTTTTTTCCTAATTCCAAGCGAGAAGGTGTGAAACATGCATTTCTTGTGCTCTGCCTTAATATCTCCAGAGCCACCTGCAGTTTAGGACAGTTGCACAGCTGTCTGTAACCCCAAAATCGGGCCCACACATCACACAACAGAGGCTGGCCAAGCCACCTGAAGTCACAGCCACAGGTTCTATCATTACCGAGTGCTCTGGCACAACGGCCCCCAACAATGTAGGAAGAATTGGAGCTGAATGAGACGTGAGGCGAACTACAGGGCCTGTTGAGGGTCACAGCCCCCCTTGCCTCACCCAGGGACCCTGGCAGGGCCGGGCACCGCAGCCTGTGTCACCTTGGTGGGGAGCCCGGGGCCTGCGGAGGGAAAGCACCAGCTAAACCCGAGGCCCGCAGGCCTTATGGAGGTTATGCGGTGAGGCAGGCCCCGGCTTCCCGTTGGAGGTGGCCTGGGTCGCCCCTACGGGGTCCCTTCGGTGCGCCATTCCCTCCCCGGGCGGCCGCAGGGGTGAGGGGTGGGGACCAGCCCCCTCTCACTACGACTCCCAGCATGCTCAGCGCGCCCCGGGCCGCGCTCTCTTACGGGGATGGCACCGCAGGGCACACCGGGATCAGTAGTGCGACGCGTACCTGGAAGCGGTTGATGAAGGCGTCGGGCCAGAGGAAGAGGTAGACGGGGCTGATGAGGCCCAGTTTGCCGACGAGCGGCACCGCGATGGACCCGGCGAACCAGTAGCGGGTGATCAGCGGGATGCTCCGGAACCAGTCCCCTAGGTCCGACATGTTGCCGTTGCCCCGCCCGGCCGCCGCCGAGGCCTCGCTACGAACCGGCCGCTGAGGAAGAGGGGAGAGGCGAAGGTCCGGGTCCTGGTCCTGGTCCTGCCGCTGCCCCGGGCAGGGAGGGGAACCCCGAACCAGACGTGGCGCCGCCGAATTCGGCCGAGCCGCCGCCACTTCCGGCCCCGCCCCGCCGGAAGTCCCGCCTCCGGGGTGGAGGCACCCGCCGTTGCCTGGTGACGGCGCCGCCGTCCCCGCGGGCCGGGCCTGCAACCGGCCTCCCTCTCTGAGGCCCAGGAGGCGAAACTACAACTCCCGGCAGCCACCGGGGCCGCCGGGTGAGGCTGTTCCATTCCCCGGCAGGCCCATATCGGAGGAGGGGGAGCGTCTGCCTCCTTCCTACTGCCCTCTGTTGGCGAAAGCGGGAGCGGGCCGTACCACGTGTGCAGCCCCCCCCACTCCCAGCCCGCCCGCCGCGGCGGCCGTTGGAGGAGCCCTGAGGGGAGGCGGCGAGCGCGGCGGTGGCGGGCCGAGGATGGAGAGCTCCGACGTGGGCGGCCGCCAGCAGGGCCCCATCTGGCACCGCAAACCCGGGCCGGCGGCGCGGCGGGGGTAACGGCCTCCGCGGGGCCGGGAGGCGGCGGCGGGGTTCGGAGTGGTGGCCCGTTCCCAGCGCTGCCGCCGCGGAGAGGCCGGGGCGGCGGGCAGGCCGGGGGCAGCAGGGAGGGGGCAAGAGGGGACAGGGCCGGCCGGAGCTCGCCTGAGCTTCTGCAGGTTGGAGGTACAGCCTGGGGATGCCCGGGTAGACAACGGGGGAGAACGTCCCCCTGGAAGGTGGAGTAGGTCCCCCAGGAGGCTGTGAGACCTCCCTGCTCAGAGGTGCTCACAGTTTGGCTGAGCGAGGGGCTGGGCACTCTCCCAGTTTAGCTTTTTTCTAACTTTAATTGTATTGAACAAAATACCGTTGGCGAATTCTCATAAGAGTTTGATCAAAGTCTTAAATCCTAGGAAAATATTTTGTAGGCTCAAGCAGAAGAGCAGCAGTACGAGTGCTACTTTGGGGTCCCTGTGTAATGTTTGACATTGGGGATCTGGGGGCAGCTCCGTGAGCTCCTGACTTTATTCTCCTGCGTTAGTTTAGTGGCAAAGGAACTTTTGAAAAGCCAAGAGCAGTGTTAGGGAGATCCTGGGAGATGCTGTGGCTGCACTGAAAAGTACTCACTTTTCAGGGTGTTTTGAGAATCAGAAGTCATACTTTGTGTCTTTTTTATGACCCCAAAGATCCTAGCGTCACTAAATTTTTATTATAATTTAAACAAACCAGCTTAACTTCTTTCTAATTTCATTTTTATGGCCTTCGCCTTTTATGGCAGAAAAGAATGGGTTTAGCAGGATGAGGTAAAATTAGTTTTGTCTCTAGCCTGTGCCATGGCTGCGTGGCCCCTCTTCCCCCATTCCCTAACGCTTTGTTCATGTGCCAGCGGTTGGATGCCGGCGCTGGTTTGCTTATTCTACTCTGTTGGCAATCAGTGGCTCATATAGCTGTCAGCATCTTAAATAGCCACGGTCATAGTCTTCTGCAAGTGCCCTGCAATCTTTAACCAGCCTGCCAATATGTTGTACAGTTTTAGACTCTAAATTTACATCCAACTGATAATAGAAAATAATTGGTTGGCCCAGCGTTAATAAAGAAATGCAGGCATAGCGTATCTCCCAAATTTTAATGTCCTGCTTCCACGAAAACCTTCCTCTTATGGTTTATTCTGCACCTGGGCTTTGGTTCTGCATCTGGCTCCATTTGATACTAACAGCACAGTACAAGGATAGAATGTGTAAAACCAGCAACTTTTGTTCCTTAATATCTCAGATGAATAATGATAAAAATAGCTTGCTTCATCCTTTTGAAGACTCTGGGAAGAAAGGGTATTAAAACTGCTTTTCCCTCCACCCCAGCCTAATCCACGTGGTTTCTTACAGTAATTCAGAGCTGCTCAGTTTTCTAGTGTGTTTCTTTACAGTGATAATGAAGAGCCAGGTTCCTTGCTGAGGGCTGAATTAGGCTTTCAGATACATTGGTAGATCACATATCACTGTATATATTAGTGTTATTCATTAATAATACAAATGAAAATCGGGTAGCTAGGATCAACATAAAAGGATCATGAATAGTAGATTTCCCCCATCTGCTCTACATGTTTTCTAACTGCCATCCAACATAGTGAGTGGCTTCCTTTGTTTAGTGTATTTTTTATATTAGAAATACGTGTTTCGCATGGAAAAAGATTTTCATAGAACACTATGAATTATTAGAATTGTAAAACCATAAGCTAGGAACATTTTAATCCTAGGTCTTGGAGAAATACATGCTAATAAAATGATTCTAAGCATGGTTGTTCTGCTTGCTTTCTTCACAGAGTTATAGTAAATATAATTCATAGTGTCAAAGGATACCACTCAAAGACAATACGTTTTCTGAATGTGGCTTTTGACAGTTCTGGAGATTCTCTGCTCGCTGGAGACCACCAAGGGAATATATATGTTTTTGACTTGAATGGAAACAGGTAAGAATATTTCTGTCAAGACGTTCTAGCTGTCTTGATGTCTGTAACATTGAGGGGTATGGAACTTGCCTGGACAGCATGCCACAGGTCTGGTTTTAACCTGCAGTTAAACCTGAATGTGGAAATAGTAGTTTGCTCAGAGCTGAAACTACAAGGCAGTATCTCATGTAGGCTCCCTCAATATTATTGTATTAGTTTCGCTGCTCCAAAAGATCAGAAGTTTGTAACTAAACTGATCAGACAGCAATTTCGTGGAACTTAAGCGCTACCACAAGAAGTTATTCTTTGGATGATACCAATCCGTTAATCATATCAGCCATGAATTACAGTAAGCTAGACCTAGTATCATCATTTGCAGAAATACATTGATCAATCTTTTCAATTTTATACTACAAAGTTTTAAAATATTAGCACTGTTTTTTAGATTTATTATAATTCAATATGATTTATTTGCTCCCTTCTTTGGAGTTAATTTGTTTTTCCTTTCAGTAAAATATAGTAAAACTGATGAAGTCATTACTTCACTTGACATGAACCAAAATTTCCTGACACAATTAGAATGTGTATTTTTAAATAGGTTCAACCTTGTTCAGCGAACGATGCAGGCTTGCACTGCTTTGGCATTTAATCTTCGCAGAAAGACAGAATTCTTGGTGGCTTTGGCAGATTATTCCATTAAGTGCTTTGATACAGGTAAGGAGAAATTTAAAGGCTTACTATCTGGATTGCTATGAAAATCTATACAATTTTAGTTTTGATGTCAGATTTTTTTTGATGGAAATCTTACTATGTATTTCATGCCATCTTTCCAAAAAAGGAAACTTAGGGCCCATGTGAGTTACATTCCTGGGGGTAAATGAACCCTTTGCTTTGTCAGTTGCTTGCTCCTGCTGAGTAATGCAGGTGCCTGTTTAACTGAAGTCTAGCACAGGATCACAGTTATGTGTGTTGCCTTTTTTAAAGCAATCCTATATATGTTTGCTTAGAATGAGGTGCTCTATGTAAATTCAAACCAAATCATTTGGCAGTATGTTTGTTTGCAACTGGACCAGTTATTAACTAGATTTACAGTAAAATATTCAACCAAAGTGACAATATACACTAAAAGAACTGTCAATACTTTTGAGTGTGCAAGTAGATCTGTATCCTTGTTCAAAAGCAGTATTCAAAATTAACTTCACAGGCCACCTGTGTGTCTCTTTCTTGATTAGAAGTTAAATGGTGAAAGGCATTGACAATTCATCCTTCATAAATTAATCTTAACCTACCTTAAAGTGCAGTGGCAGCATCTCATGTCATCTGCAATTTATGGGTTTGAGTCTAAGGTTATTAATGAAGATTTTATTGTAACACTGCTTCCCACTCTAGAGGAAGAGTCAGACTTAAGGTCTGAAATCCTCTGTGATTTTCTCCTCCTTTCAATCACAGTAAGACCAACCTCAGGTTTTGGATGCACTTAGAGAAATCTTCTTAATTAGTCTACAGAACATTTTTATATGGTGCCATTTCCATATATCAAGAATGAAGAGTGTTTTAAAAGATAAATATTATTCAGATAAGTCAGTATTGGGCAAACTATTCTTAGAGGTGTATTAGAGAATACTTAGTTGGTGGGCTCCATGCATTGCTTTGGAAGCTGTACTCTGTAATCCCACGTCATCCTCCCATGTGACAATAGTTTTAAGCACTCAATTGTCTGTAAGCCCAGCAGAAAGTTTGACTGTTAGGCTTTATGAGCTGCTTTATAGCCATTTCCCATCTTTGATGCTGCAGCAGTAGGTCAGCTGGAACCACCCCGTGGGCTGTGAGGCCAACTGCCCGATGTAAATAGAGTAATTGCCACAAATACAGTTTGGGTGCTGGGGGAAGATTAGTGGTCATGCAGTCACAAGTGGGAGACAGCGTAGTCAGAGGAGCCATTTCCTTAGTATGCAATACGCGGCACAAAAATGCTTTGGACTCCAAAAGAATTAATGAGGTGTTGCTTTCTGACTGTGCCTTTCTATAGTCATAGCCTGCTGTCATTAAACCTTTCTTCCTTGCACCTGTAAATGCTGCATAATCATTCATACATACTGTCCACAAGTAAAGACAAGTGGAGAATTCTAACTAGAACATTCAGTCTTAACTTCTAGAGATTACTGCTGGTGTTCACATTGGATAATCTGCCTGTGAGGAATGCTGAGCTTACCTGTTCACAGCGTTCATGACTTTAAGATTGATTCTTCGGCTAAATTAAACAAGTCTGTGCAAGTTGGCTTTCTGTGCACAACTGAGAATAACCTATGAAGTCTGTTACTTGGAGATTAGGAGATGATTATGTTTCTCTAAGGCATAATAACTACATAAAGACTGATACCTTTTTTTCTTGTTTGTTGGGCTGCGATGGTAAACGGTCATATACTGGGTATGGTTAAAAGTCTGTTTCACGGCACAGGGTTGGCAATAAAGAGTAAAGTAGTAGTTGTTTCACTTTGAATGGCTTTCATATCCTCTTCATCTTTTTTCATCAACTCCTACAGAAACCCAGGAGCTGGTTAGTTGGATGAGGGGGCATGATTCTTCAGTGTCTTCCATCTCTGTCCATGGCTCGGGCAGGTATGCCATCACCACGTCCACTGATACAGCACAACTGTGGGACTTGGACACCTTTCAAAGAAAAAGAAAGCTGAATGTTCGTCAGTCTGTGGGTATCCAGAAGGTAAGTAAAGAGCAATTGCTAAAGGGTGAAGAAGCATACCTCAGTAGGAGTAACACCGCGCGTTAAAATCACAGTACTTGAAAATATTTTTGAAAATACAGTTGAATCTTTTCTAAGTTCTTTGGGCATATCTCCTTGTCTGTCATCCTATCACATCACCCAGACCACTGGAATCGTGACTGAGGAGTTGCAGAGATCTGCTGGGAATCTTTAAGGAACCTCCATCTTTAAAGAGATATACTCAAAACTTAGTTGGATATGGCCTTGACTAACCCAATTTAACCTGAAAGTTAGAGCCATCTTCTGGATTGACCCATCTGTGACCTGGGGGTGGGCTCAGAGGTGCTCCAGAGATGGATTCCAACCTGAATGATTCTGGGATTTAAGGGTGTTGTTAAAAAACCAGTTTTGGTGTCATAATGGTAATTTCAAACAGTCACCACCACCTACCCTCTTCAGCTCCAAAGTTGTTGTTCTTCCTCTGCACGCTGAGCACTGAATGTGGGAACAAACAAAGCTGAAAAGTAACTCAGCAAAAAGAAATTACTGCTTTTCACCCTAGTGGTTTCTTTGGTTCTGTTTGCTGCACAGACACTTACACTGGAACAACATAGGGGATGAGAAGGATGACATGTTTGTGTCAGGTAGTGGTTTAAATAGCTCTTCCTTAGTGTTATGCTGCTTTAAAGAGGTCTGCCTGCGCCACCAAATGTCAAACTTTGGCATAAGTACTACGGAAAGTACCGACGCAGTGCCTGGGCTTTGCTTACACACGTGCTGCCCTGCAGTGAATAGTCTTACAAACACCACTTCAAACCAAAGTTCTCATCAGGCTGGTCACTAAAAAGCCCTGCTGATTTTGCAGAGAACAAGGCTATTCATTTGCGTGTCTTCACCGTTTTCTAGGTCAGGCAGAAATTTTGTCAGCCTGACATAGTCACCTAGCAATTACTGTGGACAATCACGCATACGTTTTTGTTTGTTTGTTTGTTTGTTTGTTTGTTTTATTAAAACTGGTGTCATGCATGTTGCTAAAATAATTATCATGTCTTCCCTCCAAAGGTGGCTGGATTTCTTTAGTGAACAAGATTTTCCTACTGCTCGGTTTTTTTCTTAGTGTTTCATGCTCATAAAAACAACACAGATAAAGATATGTGTCGTTTCAGTGAGTTTACCTGCCTTAGCAAAGGGTGCAACAGGTTCTGGACCAGTGCAACGGGGAGCAGTGCCTGGGCTGTAACAGGGGAAAGGAACCCGCTGTCTGTGAGATCTCAGCCTTGCCTTGCAGCTGCATTTCATTACTATAACTATATTAATAGCCATACTGCCAAGGTTTCTTACTGTGTTTTATTCTGCCATGCCCTTTGGTCCAATTTAAAGGGTACTTTATTGGCAACATATTCAATTTTTTTTCTTTTCCACGTTCTTCCAGGTTTTTTTTCTTCCATTGAGTAACACCATCCTCAGCTGTTTCAAAGATAATTCTGTTTTCGCATGGGAATTTGACACTCTGCGCTGTAAATACCAGTTGCCAACTCCTGTAGAAGGTTCTGCATTACAGTATAAGGTCTTTGCAGTTACCAGGTAAATTGCTATTTTAAACATTCTAAAGGTGACTACAAAAACTGTAGTTTTAAAACAGTTTTCTTTCCTTATTTGTAATGTTTTATGGAAGTATTGAGTTATATACTGTGATAAGCTTTTGAACTCTGCTGTAACTGATACTTTCAGCAAGGATCAATACCAGTTTCTATTACAGTCCCTTAGCAGTTGAAATAAAGTAGGTTGCTTATTAATGACTACTAAAATAAGGTTTAAAATATCCTTTACAAAAGGAAATTTTATTGTTTAGGGGCTGTTTTGTTCTTTCAGAAGAGTATGACAGGAATTACAACAGATTCAAAAGTGATTTGAGGGCATAGTAGGAAATGTACGCTCTCTCTCTTTTTAGCTAATACTAACTTAAATTATATTATTCTGATGGAAACTTTGCCTCATCTGTGATCCAGAGATGGCCGGATTTTTGTAGCTGGTGGAAAATCAAATCGTCTTCACTTATGGTGTTTAGAATCAAGAAAGTTGATACGAATAATCCAGATGCCTGCAAAAGTACGAGCTGTCCGTCACCTGGAATTCCTCCCTGACAGTTTTGATGGGGGCTCCAATCAGGTTAGTTTTTTTACAAAGATGGGAGTATTTTGTTAATTGGTTCAACACATACAGTTTGAGGGCTTTTGAGGGAACACTGAGGATATGAGCCCATACCATACAAAAGGAAAGTTACTGTACTAAATGTTTGGTCAATTGTTCTTTTAGCTTAATGGAATGTCATTGCTGCATTGGGTATTCCTCCTTGTTTTATTTTACGTTGACAATATCAATTTATGAGTCTCTTTAACTTACAGGTCCTTGGAGTGTTAAGTCAAGATAATATTATGAGATTTATAAATATAGAAACATGCAAACTTCTTTTTGACATTGGGAGTCATGAAGAGGGAATCAGCACAGCAGCAATTAGCCCCAATGGACGGTATATTGCATCAGTAATGGAAAATGGTAGCCTTAATTTATACAGTGTCCAAGCTTTGACTCAAGAAGGAAATCAGGTAGAGTGTTTTAAATTTCTTAAAACAGCAGTAAATCCCATTAAAGTTGGTACTTGTCTACGTAACTTTTGTATCAGCAGTAGTTTGCAGTTGTGTGTTGGACTGACATATTTAGCACTACATATAAAGAAAAAGTGGCTTGTAGAGTTCCCTTTGTAGTTACTCCAGCCTGTCAGGTCAAATGATGCTTTTAAAGTATATATATTACTGTGTTTGTGGTGTTGGGAGGAGGGGAAGATGGTATTTCTTTCTACAGCAATTTGTACAGACTGATTTCTCTTTGTAATGATGTTTTGGGGGAGATGGAAACAGCATAATTGTGCTGCTTCTGTTCCGTTTCCTATAGGAAATGTTTTGCAACTGATGCTGTCTTAAACTGCGGGCATGAATGGTGTTTTTGTTGCTGTCATTTTATTCTTCTTACTGTGTTATTGGATACCAGCATCCATCATTACGGCACAATCATACTCCTAATCCTTCCTAAATAACAAACGTTCTAAATACCAGTTCTTATTTTATTAAAGTAATTTATTAATAAGAGACGGGTTTCTAAATCCAGAATTCCATATATCTTTAATCACCACGTCTTTGAAGTAAACAGTAACCAGCTTTGGATAATGATGGAGTCGGAGCTGAGGAAGGATGTGGAAAGATGTCACACGTGCATTCCATTTGCACTTTTGCTGCCGGTTTGACATGAACTGGGACATCCACTTTGTTACTTGCTTTCACAATCTCCAACATTGAATTAATACCTCCCTGACACTGAATACTAATTAAAGTTTGCAAAGTTCTTTTGTATTCTTTTTAACTGGTGCCATAGAAATGCAAAATATTTAGTGACTCTGAGAAACACTCTAAAGTAAATAACCTGAATGTGATACACGATACACATTTATACTATCCCAATTATATTTTAGTGTTTGCTAAACAAGGAAATAACATGGTGTTTGAGTTGGTTTGGAAGCTACATAAACCTTCTCACAGTCTTTTTAACTTATTACAGCAATTTTATTCACTGTAATAACTTATTCAGGAGTATACAGTCCATGTATATTTATTTATTGTATGAATGTGTGTCTGTTCTTCTCGATACGACCATCAAGCTCAAAAATACAGCATATAAAATAGACCAAGCATCATATTATAGTGCTATTTAATCTGTTTTACAAGATGTTAACTAAGTTATTTTCACGTTCATATTAGCCTCCACCACCCACATTCAAAGTAGTAGAAAATCGGTCCAGGTGTCCATCAGAGGCAAACAAACTGACAATGAGAGTGACGTCAGGAAGGTCAGAGCGGCCTTGGAAATCCAAAGAAAGCAAAATTCAAAGCAGATTGCTAAAACTGCAAGTGAACACGTCACCTGAAAATAAAGAGGTAGGAAGAAATTGCAAATACTTTGTGCTCCAGTCTGCAGTGTTTACATTTATTTGCAAACAAACATTTAGCCATGTACTTCAAAGAATAAGTTCAGGCACTGAGTCACTTGGATGTTTGTGCAGAGAAGGGATTGAAGGAGTTGTAGTGAGATTCTCACTCTCTCTGCTTAGCCCGTACTCCTGTGTTGCGTGACGCGGCCGGAGCTGCCTCCGGTCGGCTTGGGGTACCTCTGAAGTTGTTCAAGCAATTTGTGACACATTTGGATATTTGCTAGATCTGATCCGCTTCCCTGCTGGCGCTTCTAAAATGTCTGTCTAAAAGCCATTTCATTTTTTATTAATTATTTAGAAGATGCATGACTATTAGATTTATTTTCCGTCTGTCATCTTTGTGCCATCTTCTCTCTCTGTGTCACATCTTATGTACATATATTCTCTCATATATATACACAGACCTATATATATATATCTCGTCCCGTAACATTTATCACGATATGATCTATGTCAATATTCTTAATGGTTTGGCTATATCTATCATTTAATTATATATAGTTTAGTCAGTTAGGGTCTGATTTGCTTCTGCCTGCAATCAATGGCAGCTATTCTTTGAGTTCAGTAGCACATGAATGATTTTTTGGATTATCTTTTTGGTTTTGAAATACTCAGGATTATGTACAGATTAGCAGTACACTTTATTTTTTTAATATTATGTCAGGAACTTCAATATTTAGCTACTATAATTAATTAGAGTGCAAAGAAAGACATTATGAAAGATAAGTCTTTACATTTATTGTTGATTTCCTTTTTTGTAGAATGAATTGCCAGGTGGATTAAACAAGAAACGCCTGCGGGCCTTACTGAAAGGATTTGGAGAATATCCAGCAAAGTACAGGTACGTTTGTGAGCATGTTCACGCTTGCACAAAATAAAATTGCTTGTGTTTACTGGACTATGAAAGAGAAGTTGCCTGACTAAGTCTGCATTTTAATTGCAGGATGTTTGTTTGGCGTTCCTTATTACAACTTCCTGAAAACTACTTAGCATTCAGTAGCCTAATAGATAAGGGTACCCACAGTGCTTTTGTGAACATTCAAAATGAGTATCCCATCAAAAGTCAGAAACTGCTGAGAGTTTTACAGAGGTAAAAGATATATTTATATTTATTTAAATATTATAGATTTTTATTTTCATACAGTGATCTGAAATGTATCCAATAGCTGGAATCAGCTGTCAGGAAAACTCTAAAATGAAATAATAGTGCCCTCACGCAATTTTGTTTTTATAACTCATATAATTCTGTATATATCTTGAAGTGTTCAGTCTTCCTATGTTGTGGTTCTAAAATGCATATTATATCTTTGTTTGGGTTTTGCTTGATGTTTTCTACACCTTTGTTTGCCTTTGCATCCAGGACCTTGTCAGCTCTAGCTCACTGGTCTGCTATCTTTGCTGAGACGCCTTATATTCCTTTGCTAGCATTCCCATTTGTAAAATTATTCCAGAACAACCAGCTGATCTGCTTTGAAGTTGTTGCTACAGTAGTAGGTAAGCAATGATTTTAAAAACTCAAATATGCTGCAACGTGTTTAAGCTTTCCCATGCAAAAGAGCTTTTCCTGATGAAATGAATGAGGTATTTCCTAAGAGGTCAGCAGGCTCTTTTCTAAAGGTGTTGCCAGGAATTAATACGTAGCAACTGGATGCTTAAAACAAAAACCTGCTTGTAAATAAAAACAGGATATTAGACTTCCTTTTGCAGTGTTCCTAGCAAAACATAGCAGTTTATCAGTATTTTTAAAGTCTAATCAGTAAAACCAAATGCATCTACCATAATTATACCATAATAACTAAAATCTCTGAGACATGGCAAAAGTAGTCACACACACCCACCCCACCCCCTCACCCACTCCCAGTTAAAAGGGAATGGTCTCTTTTAAAGCTTTACTGTGTTTCGTTGTCCTAAGCATGTGGTAACTCAAAATTAGCCATTTGGCTGAAAGCTGGCTATGGCTGTTTTCTGAAGAAACATTCTAAATTAAAGTGCTTCACACTTAAATTAGTTGTTGCAGCTGCTGCTAAGTCTACAGCAGATACGTGCTGCCAAGCATACATACCCACTTTGCAAACACATGCTGTTAGTGAATAAGTATCCAAGTTTATGGAAATTATTCTTAGTATGTTAAAAATTACTTGATCCAGGCTGTAGTTTCATGAGACAGAAATACCGGTTTAAGTATTCCCATCTGCCTTCAACCACTTAGTCCCACAGCACACAGACTTTTTTACATTTTACTTTTGAGCCAGATTAGTTCCCCAGTCTGGTTCACAGTGTAGTGACACAAACGCTCGTGCCAGTGCAGCTGGAGGAGCAGTGGGCTGTGGGAATGGTTTAACAATAAATGCTAGGGAAAAGGAGAGGTGGGAATATCCTAAATAGGTTTTGCTGCCTAAAACTACCTCTTAAACTCATACCCTTTGTAACCAATCCTTAAGGTTGTCAAGAGTCTATCACTGTGGATTACAGTGGATTGTGTTGGGCTTTTTTTCTCTTGCAGTTAATCTTTGTCAGCACTGGTTTGAGTATTTTCCCAATCCTCCAGTTAATGTCCTTAGTATGATGGAAAATGTTTTGGCACACCATGACAAGGAACTACTTCAGCATTTAATAAAACATAATGTGACTGCACAGGTAATATCCTAGCCAACTTTTGTATATAAAATGCCACTGCAGTGAATGATAGTTCAATATTCTTTTATCTTGACATAACTCTTTTTTGAGGAAGTTTTCATTAAATAACAGTGAATGGTATGGGAGTGTAAAGAATATATCATTGCTTTTCTGCAGCTTTTCCTTTTCCATGATCATAAATCTCACATGCATGCTATTGTCGTTCTTAGAAGTCCTTTGCTTTCAAGTCCACATTGCTTAACAACCTACTCATCAAATTATAAATGTACTTTTTTGTTTGTTTTTTGAAGTGGACATGGGTGTGATGAATTAGTTTTGTAATCCCTGTTTATCATTAGGGCTGATTTTAGCTTCACAAATCTAAACAGAAGAAATAAGAAATGTATATATAATCACCCCATATTAATTTTGAATGTTTATAGTAGGTGATAAAACTTGTCTTCAAATATTCTGGTTTAGTTCCTGTTTCTTTCATAAATCAATAGATGCTTCATATAAGGCCAGAAAAATTCATATTATTTCTTTAAAAGGAATGGTAAAATTGCACTAATGGATTATTTTCATACTAATGTACTAATGAATTATTATCAATCTTCCCAAATAATGTAGGTTTATGCTTGGCCTCTTCTAGAAACACTGTTCTCTGAGGTTCTAACAAGAGAAGAATGGCTGAAAGTCTTTGACAACATCTTCTCCAACCATCCTTCGTACTTCCTGATGATTGTTGTTTCCTACATTATATGTTCCAGAGGTCCCTTGCTTCACTGTGATCAAAAAGCAGATTTTGAGGTAAACATCTTCATATTTAAGTCAGTCATATGAAAATGCACCTCCGGAGATCTTTAAAACATTGTATCTGTTGTTTCTGAGGTTAGAAGACATTTCATTTCTACATTACTGTATTATTACATGTTTCTGAACAACATCATCTACTACCTGACAAATATGCAACAAATGAGTAAAATATTGCGCAATTTCCTGCAGTTTCATGCAACAAGATCTTTAAAAGCATTCATAAGCTTTCTAATGCCACTAGAAGCAATTATGTAAATGCCAATAGTTCATCAACCACAAAATAATTCTGCCTCGTTTGGGGGGATCTCATATGGACTTGTGCCAGTGGAAACAAGACACAGTCGTTCTGTCGTGTTGTTTCATTATTTTGCTTTTAGATTTGCAAAGTTTGGCAGTATCATTTTGCATTCTCTGAAGCTAAATGAAAATGTTTCCTTATGTTTAGCCTTCCATGGGAGGAAGAGGATTTTTCATATGAAAACCTCTCTTTAGGCAAACAAAAAGTTCCACCTTGAAAATGTGCTTGTGAGCAGTTAGTTTGACAGACATCAAACAGACAACATTATTGTTATGTTTAATAATAACCAGTTTAAAGATTTTCTTGGTGAATAAGATCTTTGACAGGAAGAACTTCCTGTCAAGAAGAGAAGGAGGAGCTTCCAAGCTTCATGTCTGAACAGCAGAGGTCGAGGGAGGTTTATCCAGTGGTAGGAGTGTCTGTGCAGGCAGCTGGACACTCTAGTTCACACCTCACTTTCCAGATCCCTTACACAACTGCCATTTGAAGAGAGAAAAAAAGAACCTGAGCATACTTTTACAACTTGAAGAGGTTTGGGTCAAGTCATTTGAGCCAGTGATATTTTAATAATTGGTAGGGCTAACTCAATAATCCCTTTTTAAATCAGTTTTTGGAATATAGATCTTACTAATTTACCTAATTATTCCCAAATAGGTTTATTAAAAACTTGCTTAGTCTTTTGTAGTATGTAAATGGAAGTATGTCTCTTACAGTATTTCTTTCATCATCGTAACAACCTGGACATTAACGTTGTGATTAAGGAAGCTTATCATCTTATGGAGACTACACCACTAGATATCCATCCGCAGCGTATGCTTGATGACTTCATACCACTTACAAAAGGACAGTACCCTGTATTTAATAAGTATCCCAAGTTCATTGTGGATTACAAAACTCAGGAATGGGAGAGGATCAGACAGGATGAAATTGAATACTTACGAGAGAGGTATTAATGGGAAAGCTGAAGACATTAACAGATTGGGAGGGACAGGGGGACATAATTGCCTTCTGCTATTGTAATGTGTATGCTTGAGGAGAGAGACAAATAAGAAAATTCAGGAAGGTGACTTTAAATAGATGCCAAAAGTTATGAGTTACTTGGTTTGACACTTAAGTTAAACCAGTATTCTTTTCTTAAGCAATGAATGTTTGTTAAATCACAGAAGATATCGGGCATCGAGTCTTCAAACTTGAAAGTCAGAGTGGAACTCTCCATTGACCTTGTTGTGTCCAACTTGGTGAAGGGCCAGTAGTTCGTAGCTTGCTATTGAAATCAGTGGGAGCCGTGATGCCAAGGCGCCTTTAGAAACTAGTCTTTGCTAAGAATGTGAGGAAGAAGATACCTGCACTCATCTGAAATGCCCAGTTGTCTGTAACAGTCAGTACTGTAACTCTTCCTCATGTACCTTATCAGCACACAAAGGGGAGGCTGTACCTTTCATAACATCTCATTTCAGCAGTTCTTTGCTTGTACAGTCATCCGTTTCTAAGTAATCAAGTAATTTCTTGATACTTGGCTTGAATTATTAACGTGTGATCTCCTTCCATTTAGACAATTAGCACATGAATTAGAAGCTAAAGCACAGCAGTGGAAAGCAGAAGATGAAGCCTGGTATCGAAAGCAGGAATTACTCCGAGAAGCTGAAGAACAGAGGCGAAAAATGCTACTGGAAGAGGAGGAGAAGCTGGCGGAACAGAGGCAGAGGTATTATAATAGAAGAAGCATTAGGGGCCTGGCTACCGTAGCCTGCTATTACATTTTTAACCATGAGTGAAGGAGAAATAGCCACTAATTTGTATAAATTGTAATGTGGGAAAACAGTGTGGTCTGGTGGGTCAGATTTTGGTGTGCGAATGAAGTGATCTGGGTTGTATTACTGCTGTGCCCGAGGGAATACAGCAGATTAGAGGCCAAGTCACCTCATATTTTTCTCTTAACTCCCAACCTTTTGTCTGGTCTCTTCGGGTTTTGAATGCTCTTAAGCAGTCAATTGCTGTGTGTTTGCACACTGAGGCTTCAGACTCACGCTGTGGGCAGCCTGACTGCAAATACCAGGAGTCACTTCTTGTGTCAGTGGCTGTGCACATTCTTGTCTTTCTAGTGGATTTAGAAAACAGACTGCTTTATCTATCAGTTGCTGAGCAAAGGGTTGTGATAGCACTGAAGCTGAACTGTTGGTTTGTACATCTTGCAGCTGTGAAGGTTTAAGAGAATTTCAACATCCACATAATTTTTTAGATCAACTGAAAGTAATCTTAGAATCACTTAGGTTGGAAAAGATCCTTCAGATCATCAAGTCCAACTGTTAACCTCACACTACCAAATCCACCATGTAGACCATATCCCAAAGTGGCACGTCTACAGGCACTTCTATTCAACCTCTGTAACCTACAGAGTAAGGGGCTTTTTTTTTTTTAAATAAAGAGAGCAGTGAGCCTTTCTTTGCAAACTAATTCTTGAGTTTGTGGTTTTGTTCCTTGAAAGAGTTTGATATTTTCCAAATGAAGTTAGGCCTAATTTTGTGCAGAAAGAAGTACCAGGTCAGTGGCAATTATTCTAAGGAATACTTTCCAGTTCTGGACCATTGCAGTAGTAAACTAGTGCTTATTAAAGTAGAACTGAAACAGAGCACAGGACTTCAAAGCTTAATTGGGGGCATTGCCATTAGAGGATGTCTGGGAATTTAATTTTGTCTCATAAATGAAAACTGGGCAATTTGCAAGTATGAAAGCAACTGCCCTAAGCTTTATAAATTAGAGATTAGCTCACAGTAACAAATGGATAACTGCAGTGTGAGTTTGTGCTTATTGGTACTGACCTCTTATATATACAAGTTCCCTTGTTTCTGTTTGGTTTGGCTTTGAAGACTAGCTGCTGTGAAAAGAGAATTGAAAGTAAAGGAACTACAATTTCTAGATGCTTCGAGAAGGCGTTTTCTGAAATACCAGCAAGAGCAGCGTCAGATGGAACTGAAACGTCTGGGTGACGACATTGCAAGAAAGGTTGAGTATTGCTCAGGCAGTTCTTTTCTTCAAGGTTTATTGGTGAAAATAAACACGGAAAAAAAAAGTATAACTAAAATTTCAGTTGATACACTGTGATTTGTGAGCCCAGAGGTGTATTTAGCACGAGACGGACTGCTTTAAGTGGTAAATGCATAATTTAACAGTTTTATTTGGCACTTACTATGTTCCAGTGGCTTGCTTTAACTGGCAAAAATCCTGAGAAAAGCCAGATTAATCTGTATATTGGCAGTGTTGAAAAATGTAATGAGCTCCTTAAAGGACTAGTGAATTCTCAGCTGTCTGTGGGCTGTATGTCCAGATTGCAAATTAACTCTGCCATTGATTGAGAGGCTCTGCAGTGGCCTCTGGCCAGGACTGGCTCTGCTCCCGTCTTACTGGTTGGAGCACTGTGGCCTGCAGATGCTGAGAATGGAAGCTTTGGAACCTCATGGGCACAAATTGAGTCTTTGCAGGGCCATTCCTCGTGTCTGAGCACCACCCTCTGCAGAGCAGAGTGCAGCTGTGGGTTTGTTTCTGCAGACTGGGCACCAAGAGATTGATCAGCTCCAGCTCAGCACAGGTTCTGCCTTATCTCTGCACTGTCCTCTGCAACCTGCTGGGTTCAGAGACTCCTTATGCAATTCACAGTTGCAGCTGGCAGGTTATTAGCACTGGATCAAGCCTGACATTCCCTAACACACTTGGCTGGATGCAAAACTGTTCCTGTGCCTCTTCTCCACCTTGCCCTGTACTTTTGATATACAATACTTTTCACTGTTCACGGTATACAGAAAGTTAACCAGTTAAAAAGTTAACAAGTTAACATTTGGAAGTAGGGTGTGGTTTGGGGCTTTGGACATTCTTCTTGATACTGGTATTTTAAGGGAGAATTTCTCCTTTACTCTATTTCCATGTGTTTCTCTTCTCAAGGCATCCATGAGAGAGCAGGAAACAGCTGCTGCTATTCGAGATGTCGAAGTACAACGGATGGAACTTGAGTCACAAAGACAGATTTTTGAACAGGTAATTACTAGGGAATTATACAAATGTTTATATTTAATAATTCTTCCTTTGCAGTTCTCAGATTCAGTTGTGTTCATTAAACCAGACTTGTGAGGAAAAAGAGGGGTCTTTTTTTTTTTTTTCCTTTTTCTCTCTGGTACCTTTTTTAGAGTAAACCCTCTGTTAATAAAAGCATTTGTAGAACTCACTGTTATCTATTTTTTTCGGGGAGAAAAACCCCATATCCTCCCCATTTTATTCTTCTCCTGTGCAGAGGTATGATTTGGTTGCTGCAGGGTTTAGCTGTGGGCTCAGCTGGTTGAGAGAAGTGAGGAACACGTAAATAAGAAATAAGTCTATAACAATATGTTCCTCATCCCAGAAACTCCCACCTTTTCATCTGTGGTATCCAGATATATCTGCATTTTCTGGAGAGAACAGAATAGCAGATTGATGTAGTTAATGAAAAAATGTCTAATTGCCAAGAACATCACCAAGCAAAAAGGAATGGATGGTTCATGGGGAATGTGCAGGTCTTTTCTCAGATGACTGACTTTGATGGAAAGATCACTATTCAGTAATAAAGGGTTTAATCAATACCATTTAAAGTTAAATATGAGTTAATTACTGAAAAGCAAGGCTGCCAATGGAAGGCTTTAGTAATGTCCATTTGGTTAGAAATAGTAAGTGTTTAGAAACCAAAGCTACATGTGCCCATCTTGTATACCTGCAGATCCGATGGAGTGCAAGCAGAAGTGGGCATCCAGAGAGCTAACCCTTATTTTGAAGCATGTGTCTGCTTCTATTTGGCTTTATAAAGCTTTTGGCCATGGACTTTTTATAACCCATGTGAAGCATAACTGGGCTAAATTTCTTTTAGCATTCATTTATTAAATACACAGCCAGCTGTATTGTGGCTACGTAACACAAACCAGGCTAAGCTCATTTGTGTTCCAGTACACGTAAAGTCAGCTGTTTAAGGGAACTAATTCCACAGTGATCATCAATTTAGGTTAGAAAGGTAGCAATTATTAACTAACTGAGGACGTAGGTCTGCCCACAGGAGTCTGTGTAGACAGGATTTGCGGGCCCGTACCCTGAACTGACTGTTCTGCTGCCGACAGCGCGGGGCTATGTTCAAGCTTAGAAGGCCATGAATATTAACTTTGCTTCAGTGCCCCGCTGACACAGCTCAGTGGATGCCTGCAGGCCTGGGAGGGGGCTGTGTCTTCTCCAGAAAACTCTGTGCCCTGATGAATGTGAAGAAAAGGTGGTGAGAGTTAAAATTCTATTTCTAGATCTACTGCTGATCCGTACTGCTTTGGCAAATCATCTCTGTATTCAAGCTGCAGATGTGTTTATTATAAGTCCCTGTACTGTGGAACGTGATTTGTATTTGTGAAAAGTTTTGAGGTTTTGGCTGAAATGTGCCATAAAAGTGCAGAATATTTTCGTGATGTATCTAATTGGTTTAAGTTGGAATTCTGCTTTTATGATCCACTGTAACCCAGGGAATGGAATTACATCAGTATCAACCTGCTGGACCACTGTGATGACTCAGGCTTAGTGTAATTCCAAGTGGATAAAACAGCAGGGACTATCACTTTCTTGGACAGTGATGATATGTAGTGGGATGAGATGTGTGGATATATTCAAATACTATTTTAATGAAATTTTAATAAATGTTAAAGAGACAGAATTACAAATGGGGGTTAGTAGCTTAGCAACAATAATTTTTGTTGGTGCATTTGGCAGCATCTAATCAAAGATCAAGAGGCAGCTACAAAGGAAATGAAAGAAGAGGTGGATGCTTGTCGAAGAAAGGTGGATCTAGAAGATCATCTTGTTCAGAGATGGATGGAAGTAGATAGAGAAGAAAAGCAGAAAGCTCAGAAGGTAAGATGATTGGATCTTAACATGTATTTTGGGGAGTTAGTATTCTAACCAAGTAGTACTAGTTAATAGTATTTTAATTGCATAAAGTAGTTCAAGTTAATATGAAAATATTTTCTAAAGGAACCTAATTTCTTCCTACCTATTTGAATGGATTATGATGGTATGTTTAAAGTTTTGAGGTTTTCAAAAATCAGACTGAAGCATCCAAACAAATTCTCTGGGCCTGCCATGAATATTAATTTTTCTCTACTTCTCAGAAGTCAGAAGGCATATAAGACTCAGAAGTGCTTTTCAGAGTAAGTCATCCTCCTGTTAAGGAACATGTTTTATTTGTAACCATAATAAACCAAAAGTAAGCCTCGAAGGAACTTTCAGTTGGTAGTACTTGGCAGGAAATTGGGCTGTAGAAGCTGTCTTCTAGATCACAGTAATGAATGTGTGTAGCTTGACATTAGGAATTGTTCAGATGTTCAAGCTCGGAACTTGTAACTGCACAGTTGGAAAAATAGTTGCAGCTAACCCACTGCCCATATGCTTGGCATCTGCATTTATATTTTGTCTAGAAATAAACATATGGGTCTGAATTTTTGTAAACAGCCTCCAATTCTTGGAAGCAGATGGATGTGGGTGGAAGTATTGGCATCCAGGTATCAATCTTATGTTAATGGCACCTGTAAATCATATTAAATCCATGCTAGAAAAGCAAAATCCCCAAAATCATGGAGAGCATAGATGCCTTATTCCAAAATATTAAAAAATAACAACCAAAACCACAAAACAAAAAAGACCCTCAGTAAGAGAAAGAACAAGAAGGACGAAGAGGAAGCAGAAGAAAGCCCTGATAAATGAGAGAACCTGCTGTAACGAATGGAGGAGGGCACTGCAGGTGCAGTCTCCCGGCGGGGACATCAAACAGGGATACGGGAGAACACTTCATCTGACCTGCTCTGTGTGTCAGGCTGTGTGCTTGAAAGAGAGTAAGTGGATTCCTGGTAAGAACGATGTTCCATTAGGTGGCTGAGGAAAATTTAGCCAAAGCAGAGCAGAAACGCCTTGACACCGACTGGAGGTTGCGAGCGTTGCATAAACTGAAAGGTGGTGACCAGGCCTGTGAGAAGCGTTACCAAGAGATCGCCAAGCTCCTGCATGACAACAGGGTGAAGGAGGCTGAGCTGCTGGAGGCCATGAGGGAAGCAGAAGAAAAAAAGGTATTTGTATGATTTCTTTTTCTAGGTGGGACTGACACAAATGTAACTGTCTTTTGCCCATAGCGTGGTAGAGCATAAAACTGAACGTTATTGAAGAAATATTTTGTTAGAAATCACCTGTTTCGACTGCAAGTTTCTGGAAGCACTAGAGGCTGAGGATGGTTTAGGCTTAGGAAAGCATATTCCTAATTCTCTAAGTTCCTCTCTTTTTTTTTCTGCTGACCCAAGATTTTTACCTTTCTCCAGATGTTTGAGAAGTTTTTCAAAAAGAACCATTCACTCAGTTTAATATTTTGATTTTAGGGTGAAGTGTAATCTGTAATAATCCAGATGGTTTTACTTGTTGCTTTTTTCTTGCAACACATCTGTTGAAGACGCATTTAATATCTCTGTTGCACAGTGGGAAGAAGTTACACAGAAAAAAGCTCAACTGGAAGCAGAGGAGAAGGCTGCAGCTGCTGCAGACGAGCACAGGAAGCAGTTTTTAGAGGACAAAATGAATGACACATTCGAATTGGCTGAAAAGCTGCAGAGAGAAGATGGCTGTTTTGGTGAGCGTGTAGATGATGCAGTTCTCCTGTGGGGATGTTGGCATGAAGCATTCAGCAACTGAATACAAACTAAATGTCCAATGTTAGGGATAAACTTATGCTTAACTCCTTTATTTCGGTACCTTTTGGCAGTATTCTTTCATGAAACCAATGTATCAGGCCAGACTTGGAAAGGAATCTCAGTTTGGTATCTATCAGATGTGGCAATATACATGGTGGTTTTGGTAGGAGCACAGGTTTAGATCAGCTTAAACCAATGCTGAAATCGCTTCCCTTAAAGATCTTCTGTCAAATAACTTAAAGAACGGCAAGCTCACTGCTAGGAAGTGACTGTGCCAAGTGGTTGTTCACAGGAAAAAAACATTTCTGGGCTTCCACAACTGGCCGGTACGTCCTTCTCAAATGCTGGGTTTGTATGTTTTTGCAGATATTTCTCCTATTCCCCCATCTCTGCAAGGGTCACACGGGATTAGTGTTAAGATTAGGTGATTAGTATCGCTTTGGGCGAACTTTTTCAGACTTTGCCCTTATTTACCTAATGTTTTTAATATGGAGTAATTTGTAACTGCAAATTATTAAAATGGGTGCCTCCTAAAACTGCAAATACGAGTAGCCGTATTCCACATGATCTTAGTGGCCCATTTGTCAGAAGATTAATTATATAGGAAGAAACAGCCCATGTGGAGCTGTAATTTCTTAAAATGAAAAGCAGTGATGCATAGCTTTGACCCATAGAGTAGAAACATTGACTTCTCATTCTGAGCAAATTGTACTTGCCATTAGCTGGAGTGAGTGAGTGTTCCAGTTTCGCTTCCTGGAGAAAAACTGTTTCACCTCAAGCTAGAAAAATTCACTAGAAATTTAAACACTGAATTTACAAAGAATCCTTCTCGCCGTTTCCCACAGAGAGACTGTGTGATTTAAAGGCTGGATGTGCAGAGAGAGGGGCAGAACTCCAGCAGGAGTCTGGAAACATCTGTCTGGATGGTTTCTCTCCATCGGAGTCATCGTCACATGGTAAGTTTGGAAGTTAGGGCCCTCCTTTGTTTCACGTTTAATTTCAGAAGCCTTACTGGAACACCTTGTTGTGCCATTGAGTCATTATTAGTTGCGTAGGTGTTTAGTGGATAATAAACCAGTTTATTGCTGTATTCTATTTCACACCTGAAAAAAATATCTTTGCTACCAGGAGCAGCACAGGTAGGAAGTGCCTGAAGTATGTCCTATTAAACCTCAGCCAGGTTTAATCCCATTCTGACCTGATCATTTTACCTAGGCTTCTTCTGTCTACAGACTTATGTATGATTTGGGGATGTTGAGAAGATGTAGAACTGTCTTTCATCAAAATCTTACTGAGAGTTATTGTCAGGAGTTAGTCTGGAATAATTTCCTCCAGGCTGTCCTAGCCACTATGGCCAGTGAAGCACAATTTAAAATCATATGTATCTTTTGTATAAAACTCTGCATGCAATGGGAAAGGTGTATCTATGATCCTGCCACAGGGACCCAGCAGTATTTGACGTTTTTGTAACAAAACATGGGCTCTGCTTCCAAAGAACGTGCTTCTGCAGCTCCCAGGGCTGTCTCGCATCTGGTGGTACTAATGATTTCAGAGGTGTCTGCTCTCCCGTAACCATTCGTAGCGTTTCTGGAAAGCCCTCTGTTGCAATATTAATCTGAGTTTCTTGTGTGTCAGTGTCCCTAGGGAGAAGAGGAGAAGAGCTGGCGAGGCGGGAGCGGGCGCTGCTGGCAGGAGTCAGGCGGCTCAGGCAGGAGCTGGCCTCGCGGGCTCGCAGCGGGCGTTCTCCAGCTCGGTTCACAGCTACAAAGTGGACACCTTAAGATGGTTTGCTCTGGACCTCAGCTGTGCTTTCAAATTATTAATCAGTGAAACCCTAAATATGTATAGTGTGATTAAGGACTAATCATAGATTGTTTATTTTAAAGGTCTTTGGAAATATTTTTATATAAAAATAAAACGCTAGCTAGAAAAATGTGTGTTGTTTGTAACTTTGTCATTGTTTTCTTGGTAACTATAATGCTAGTTTTACTTCCAAAATAACTTAATAGTAAAAAAGTGAGTTTATTACACTTGCAGTATTTGTATACTTTATTTGTTCTGGTGAATGCTGTGACTTGAAGAAACAAACTGTTAAAATGTTGGGTTTGTGAGTGGTATGTGAGTGAATTCTACAAGTTACAGCAGTTACAGCAGGGAAGTTTGCAATTAGTGAAAAAACTCCTTTTTGTTGAGAGCCAAAAGCTGAAAACACGGCCCAGAGAGGCTGCGGAGCCCCCGTTGCTGGAGTTACACATCCTTGTGAGACAATTTCATGGGAAAGACACCATTTCGTGCTGCCAGGCTGGTTTTTGGCCGCTGTTTCACTGTCGCTGTTGATGAGAGAATTGCCTTTTTTTTCTGATGACTGCCAACCCATCCGATTATTTCTATATTTAAAGGGGAAAAAAAAAAGAACCCACTAAGGTTTCGGGCAGCACCTTGGGCTGTGTGTGTGTGCTTACGGCTGTTAACGCGTTACAGCTGCAGAGGCACAAACCCGGGTGTTCCCAGCAGGCGGGAGCCGCTGCCCTGTCCTGCCCTGACCCCCGCACCCCACGGCGGGAGCGGGACCCGTCACCCCCGGCCCCGGTGGGGGTTTCGGGGCTGCCGGGAGGCGGGAATCCCTCTGCCGAAGTGCGGGTTCAAACAACAAACCGTGCGGGAGTGATTTCCGTGAGCCCTCAGCCAGCGAAGGACACACGGGACCTTACCCACGGACCCGCAGCTCCATAAATGACGACAGCAACAAGAAAGCCGGCGGGTGACAGCGCGGCTTTGTCGCGGCGGAGGCAGCCGGAGAGACCGTGCGGGATCCGGGACAGGCTCGTCCCGCCGATCCCAAATCGGGGACGAAAAGAATCGCCCGCCTTTGCCCCGTGTGAGGATCGAACTCACGACCTTCAGATTATGAGACTGACGCGCTACCTACTGCGCTAACGAGGCGGCTGGAAGCATTTTCCCCGGGCCGGCTCTCGAGGCCACCCCCTGCGCCCGGCGGCCTCCCGCCCCGTCAGTGCCGCCGAGGGCCCGGCCGCCGCCTCAGCCCGGGCCGCGGGAGGACGAGAGGCCGGAGGAACGGCCCAGCACGGCCCTTCCTCCGGCTGCTCCGGCGGGCTCCGTGCCCGAGGACCCCGCGGTGACCGCCCGGGGCCTCGCGGTGACCCTGTGGGACCCCTCCAAGTGACCGACCGGGGCCTTGTGGAGACGGTGTGGGGCTTTGTGGTGACCGTGGAGCTCCAGGGTGACCGTGTGGGTCCTGACGATGACGGTGTGGGATCCTGTGGTGGCCGTGTGGGACACGGGAGTGGCCATGTGGGACCCCAGGGTGATGACGGGGGGTCCCTGGGGTGACAGTGTGAGGCCCCATGGTGACAACCTTGAGTGGCCTGCATGGGGCTCTGCTGTCACCATGTGGGGACCATGGTGACTGTGTGGGACATTGAGGTGACCATGTGCAACGCCAGGTGACCATGTGGGAGCTGAGGTGACACGCTGGCCCTGGCTGGGGTGGGGGGGTGACAGCTCTGCTGGGCACAGGGAGGCCCTGATCAGAGTTGAGAGGGCGCGATCTTGCACGCCAGGTTAATTAGGCAGCATCATTTTCGGCATAATTGCGCAGAACAGGTCAGTAGATAATTAGTGACTTTTGGCCGCGTCTGACAGCTGCGGGCGGATGTTGGGGGCGGGGGGAGGGACGGGATAGTTTTTAAAATCACACCAGAGCTCAGGGATGGGCCCCGCCACCACCTCTCCTCAGCCCCTGGGTGGGTCTGAGTTCCTGCCCGTCGTGGCTCTGGAGTTAAAATCCGAACCGTTTCATACTCTTTGTCTATTTTCTCATATATATGTTTGTGTCATCCTTGTGTATAGTAACTTTTTTCCCCCCTAAGGCACCTGACGTAGTCACAGACCCAGAATCTGAGAAGCCACCCTGGAAAACACGGGCCTGTGTCATTCTGAGTGGCCCTGGAGACGTCCCGAGCGTGTTGGTTGGAGCGGCAGGACCCTTTCCCCTCTCAGACACGTCCTCAGCAGCCCCTACCCCCGTGCAAGAGCCCAGCCTGGCGTGTCCCCTCGCCCGTCACTCCCCTCCGGAGCCGTGGCAGGCCGGTGCGCGGGCACAGAGCAGCACGGGGCGAGGGCAAAAACCCCACCTGCGTGAGAAAAACTGTGTCACACGTGCCTCTGTGTAAAAGCATGCACCCAGGTATTTATGGCGTACCTCAGGCAGGCTGCCTTCCCACCCTGCCCCTCCTCGCCCCCGCGCAGTCATTCCGGTCGGCCTGGCTCCCCGCGGGCGCTGCGCCTCTCACCCCGCTGCGAACCTCCGTCCTGCTAATGACACAGCAGCCGAGCTGCCACTGGGACAACGTGACTCCAGAAGCTCTGCAGCCTGGAAAAAAAAAAAAAAAAAAAGAAACCAACCAAACAGCCCTAAATGCGCACAATCAAGTGATGAGTGTTTGTATTTCTGATGCTTTGAGGCCAGCTCACAACCCTCCCTCCACATAATATTCAGGATGTTTGGGAAGGGGTGTTTTTCTTTTAATAGGATGGCGTAGTCACACAGCTTTAAAGAAATAAACGAGTGAATCGTCTACGGTAATAGCAACATGCTGCGAACGGGGCAGAGTGACGAAGTTCAGGTCTATTTTTAAGCCTGCCTGGCAGCAGGTAGGTGCAGACCGTCACCCTTTCTGCTGTCCTGAAGATATGGACACGGCTGATGTCTCCGTCCCAGTTCAACGTCAGAGTTGTTTTTGCTCCCTAACGAATACCATGGGAAGACAGAGAAGCCTCAAGCTGTTTTGAAGATTGTGCAACGATGCTTGGGAGCCTACCTGCTCTTGCTTGAGTGCTTTCCTCGCTCACATCTCACAGGATGCGACGGGAAGGGAAATACAACCAAATCGGACGGCCCTGGTAATTGGACGCAAATCCTTCGTATGCCCTGGGGGTGAGGTGGGTGCCTCTCAGATAAGCAATCTAATCAGCTTTGTACTTGTGTCCCATCTGGAAACAGATTGTTGCCGAAGAACACCACCACCTGAGAAGCAAGCTTCAGGTTTTTTTTGAAGATAATTGTACCAACGAAATCAAGGAGTGTGAATTTGCCTGAGGTAATAAGATCTCTTTTATTTTTATTCATAGTTAATTCGTTCAGCCGAGGTGATTTCACGCCAGAATGCAGTCTCCAAACAAGAAGGAGGATTGCGCTGCCTGCGCCACGCATATGCATGGTGCCTCCCCGGCAGATCGACTGCTGCGACACAGAGCCATGAGCCACTCCAGACACATGGGCAAGATAAGGAAAAGGCTGGAGGATATCAAGAACCAGTCCCCGAAGGTGACAAAAGCAGATTTCAGCCACAACGAAAGCATAAGGTTGGCCACCGACGCCTTCCTGGACGGTGGGACAGACTCTTACCTTGAAACTTTAAGCAAAGAGGGCGAGGTGGATTTTCTCTCCTCGGTGGAAGCTCAGTACATCAAGGATAACGCCAGGGAGTCCTATTATGCTCAGGAGTCCCCGGCTGCCGACGGGGCGGGTGCGTCAAAGCAGAACGATGCTGGGTCTTCAGGGACTTACTTCCCCACCATTTCTGACAGCAGTGAGCCAGCTCTGCTGCACACATGGATTACAGCAGAGAAGCCCTACTTAAAGGAAAAGTCCACTGCCACTGTGTATTTCCAAACAGAGAAGAACAGCAACATTAGGGACATCATACGCCGGTACATCAACAAGACCACTCAGGTATGGGGAGAGAATTCCTGTTCCCTCTGCACTCTGTTGTCTTCCTGCTCTTAAAAAGATAAGGTAAACGAAGTATTTGATCTGAGCCAGCCTTGCGTGTTGCAGCGTAGCTTTGCTCTAGAAAGTGGCTGTAAAGAGCCCGTTGTTGAACACAGGCAGTGCTTTTCTTTTTTGTACTCACACCAACACCTTTTTATGTTGCTAACAAATCAAAAAAGAAAAAAAAAAAAGAAAAGGTGTTCCCTTTTCTTTTAAACTCCCATGAACACGGTGGAGCAAACGTGCTGTGGAAAGGGCAGCTGGGTTCTCTCCCTTCTCTTGCGTCTCCAGCAGGATGGGTTGCTCCATTTGGATGATTGCACTGGTAATGAGAATTAAGCTAAAGCAAGTTCTGAGCCATTAGTAATTGTTCTAGGTATTTGTGGGAGACGTGGGTGAAGGGGTGCCCAGAGAAGGACATGTGTGTTTGGTGTGCCAGCAGCCCTCTGCAGAGGAAGGAAATTATTCAGAAAAAAAGACCTTTTGTCCCTAATATGTTGTCAGTGTCACTAAAAATGCCACGTGGGCATCCTACAGAGACTCTGCAGTGTAACTTGGCACATGGGAGAGGTGCAGATGATGCCCCTGACAACAGGCAGGTGACAGGGAGGCCACAGAGAGGTGCCAGCCACAAGCTGGGCTGCCCATGCGCTGGGAATCCAGAAGCTGAACAGCCGGAGGGGGGCAAAAAGCCTGTCATGTGTGTTCTGGCAGCTCTCCTGTTTTCCTGGAAAAAAAAAAAAAAAATTGACATTTCAGGTCCGTGTTTACCATCATCTGGGAGTTTCCCCCGTGTATAAACTGGATATGCCACTAGCAGTTTCACAGGGAAATGATCAGGAACAAAGCCAGGCTGTAGTGCCTGCTCTCCGGCACAGGCTGCGGTGCCCACTGCAGTTACGGATTTTGGCTTTACTATTCCCCTGCAAGGGCCAGTGCTGGGTCTGGTAACCCTGAGCTTAATGGCAGGGGAGAAGAATCCCCGTTGGCAGCTCCCCTGTCAAAGGCTACAAGTGCTTAGCTCATCAGGGGAATTATAAATCAGTCATTTTAAGTTGGCAGCATCAGAAATATACAGTAACAGAAGAAATGTCTCTGGAATAATAAAATAAGCATCGGGTGAAGTATCAACCCAGCCC